TCTGTTTTCTGCATTTTCAAAAGTAGTATTTAAATTTTTAAATTATTTTAATGTATTAATATTACAAATAATTTTTAAAAAATAAAAAATAATGGAAAAAATCTGATGTTCACCCGCGTATTCTGTCGGGGGTTGATGGTTGAAAATAAATACTGCTAACCTTTTACCTTTAAAGGGGCTTTCATACTTGTGTTTTAAGCGGGAGTAGAAGCCCGCAGCGACATGGATTGTGTTTTAAGCGGGAGTAGAAGGAAGGCCCATCTATCAAGAAGCCCATAACCTTATGAATCGTTCTTGCTAGATGAAAAAAATTCTGTGCATGGTCATATGATCAATGAACAAGATCAAGAAATTCATAAAGGGGAAGCACTCGTACGTTTCTCTTTCTAACCATAGCTTTAGCTCGCTCGAAGGGTATGCTGAGGCATGCTTTTGTGTGGATTGTTTAGAACAAATTAAGGACAAGGTAGCTTCGGTACTTTCAGCCCAGCAAACTTGATAAATGCTGCGGGCAAATTAAAACATTCCGCATGTCAGATTTCATATTACTCAAAACTTATGACTGCACCCGAGATATCATCATCTGCAAAATATTTAATTTTGCGTTTTAAAATTTTAATTTTTTCATTTTAAATAGATATATTTTTAGTATTTTTAAATCATTTTAATACATTAATATTAAAAATAATATTTTTAAAAAAAATGTTATTTTAATATATTTCTAATTAAAAAATTCTCTAAAAAACACAACTTCTCTCATCTTGATTTGATTATGCAAAGCAATAACGTGGATCCATACATTCATTAATAAATGGATTGCTTTCGCTTAATTGGCTCACAAAAACCATGAGTAAAAAGCACGTTAAACTGTTCTAAATGTTTCACAACCTGAAAGTCAACGGTAAAACAAACTTGCCGCCACCTTTCTCAGGTATCCGCTTTTTTCCTTGTGTTACTTACACTAGCGAATTTACTATGTCTAACCTCATTCTTTCCATCATCATCTTCTTTGTACCCGTGCAAAGAAATAACACTACCTTCCGCTTCAGCATCATTGACCGCCTCCGTCTCAGCCTCCCAGTCCTCATCATATGCTTCATTGTCGTTGTCGTTGTCGTCATAATCTAATCCATCCTCTTCATCGTGGTTATCCATACCTCCTTGCAAAGTGTGGAACTCAGGTGGAGGTGGGCAATCCTCTGTGATTGCTTCATCCCTCTTTATCACGAGGTGCCGGATGACTCTTTCATCTTTGTCTAACATGTTCTTAAAGTCATTGATCCATCTGGCTTCCAACTCAAAGTTCATCAAGATGTAGTGAGCATTTTTGGCTTTCTGTATTTTGTATGCTAACCTTCGCATGCCCCAATCATTGAATCTCCATATCCTGCCTTTCTTCTCCCTCACAAAATCTGCAACAAGTGGTTACAAGGTATAAGAATCAGCAGAGCCACTTTTAATGGAAACCTCAGTAGAAGATTGCCAGTTAAATCCACTGCAGAAGATGAGGAGCTTTAGCAAAGTCAAGCAATATGCATGTGAATGTGTGTTCCATTAAGAAGAAGAGCTTGGCATGCAAATAGCAGAATATTGGAAATAAAGAATGAAATTCATATAAGATGGCAACAGATGCAGCATTGGATCCTTTAAATATGAAATGAATAACAAACTACATAAATGAAATAAAAGTAATTGTACGTCACATAACTCTTAGTAAAGGTTTAACTATGCATGCTGTATGCCTGTATCAGGTCATATCTCGATAGGAGATAACAGCTGAGAACCATAAAGCATGATAAATTAACAGCAACCTAGACAAGCTTACAGAAAATCTGTATCAGCATGTTAGGAACCAATTCGCCATCAAATTGAAATTATAAGAGCAAAATTAAATTCAATTGGCAAATTAGTTGAATTCACCTGTTTGGAATACCCAACCCTCTGTACTTGAATTCAAAATCATTAATAAAAATTCAATTTTTAAGTTTCCTTTATCGCCCTCATCTCCATCATCTTCCTTTTGTTTGAGATGAGATTGAATGGACAGTTTAGGTAATACATATTTTAAACAGTAATTATCAATATTACAGTAGTAAATCGCAGCAGCTCTTGAGATACGATTTGTAACAGTGGATTGTTTAACAAATTGAATTCCAATTCCTTACTTCACCATTTATTCCAGGCATGGTAATTGAATTCGATTTTAAGTTTTTTAAGAATTGAATTCAATTCTTAGTATTCCAAACAAGCTAGACTAGAAAGTCATTCTTCTTGATTTTTCTTAACATATTTATAGGAATTTCCTAGCTAGCAACAGCATCGACTAGTACTTCACCCACTCAGAGATGACACAAAAACAAAGAAAGAAAGAAAGAAAAGAATCAACAACCTCAGAAATTGATTTGAGCCATGCTTTTCAAGCATCAAGAACTAGTGCCAGGTTATATTCTGCATGACAGAGGATATGCTAGTTGAGGGATATGTTAAATGGATTGCAGGTTGAGATGAGAAGGATAACAACTAACAAGTGGACCATCCAAGTGAGAGAAATCAAAGAATAGGTCAAAGAAAAGTCAGGGAAACATGAGAGCTAATAGGAGTGAACGGCAGTGATTCAAGAATCAATGGTTGCTTGAATGGATGAGCAAAGTACACGTGATAATGGAAAATCCCAAGGGAGGTTCCTCTTAAGTCTACTTCAAATAAGTCCAAAGAATCCTGAGCCAATTACAGGCTGCATCATTGATCAATGAGTACTTAGCCTTTGTCACAAGTGTCTTAGCATGCTATATATAGTGTGGAGAAAAGGTGTCTAGAAAAGGTTTCCTTGCAATTACATTATCTGTGGAATGATTGTCCTCCCATGGCTCACAAAAACAGATTGGTCTCTTGCTAAGTACAAATCAATCAGTACTTTTTGGAGTTCAGTAATCCAGGTAGTCCGAGGACCCACGAGCTACAAGCTCTATCCTCCAACATGCTTCTTTGGAAAGTTCAGAGATTTTGAGCATGCCAAAGGCAAGAGGGTGGGCCACTGAGACCTCGTATAGCATCAAGTTTCACAATTAGGCAGCTCACTGACTAAAGATGGTAAGCCATAAGGTCCTCCAGGCCTTAATTTTTCATGAATTGTTGCCATATGAATCAAAAGTGACAATTTCATGTTCTCTTATGTGAAAGAGGTCCATGAAAGATTCCATTATCAACAAAAACAAAGTGAAACCAAGATGTATGCAAATTGGAATTCAAAATGTATGGATCGATATAGCTAAAAAGAAATTATATTAGAATGATTCACCAAAGGCATTAAAGGGTTGAGAAAGACAGAGGGTGACCTTGAACTTTCTCATTCACACTGCCAACCTCTTCATCGTGCTTCTCATGGATTAGATACACCACTTCATAATGGCGCACTGCACAGACAACAGAGGAAATAAAATTAAAATATTAGCATACACGTCCGATTCAACAACAAAGGTGAATGAATCACAACTAGTTAACCCAAAGAAGCGCAGAAGCTAAAGGGTAACGGGAAAGTTAAACAAGGGAATTGAAAAATCACTACAATCAGAAATCATTTCCTTCTCTCTTTTTTCCCTCAAACAAAGAACAAAGAAGAATAAGAAGCAATCCGAACGCAGTAAACTTACATCGCTCCACTTTCAATTCACTCTGCAGCTCAAGGTTCAAAAATTCAAAGAGCTTCTCTGCAAATTAACAAACAAGCATTTCACTTCAATCTACACAAATCGAACTATCTTTCTCTCTAAACAAAGAGGTAAGAAAACAAGCAAGCAAAATACATTAAATGAAATTAGAGTTGCATTCAGTAACCTTCTTCAGCATCAGCAAACTCAGGCAGAACTCTACCATCCTCCTGCGCTTTCTTCTGCAATTCAAATATGAATACCCACATCTCAAAACCAAAGCCAAAAATCTACCCAAAACTAACAAATTATGCAACTCATCCGGTTTTTTTTCCTAAAAAAAACTGAGAACAATAACATTTCAAAACATCAAACAAACTAAAACACAAGAACAGCCAAACCCACAAAAACCAATCATGACTTTAAAAAAAAGACGCAACAAATTAAAGAGAAAATAAGCAAATAAAGAAATAAAGAAATGGGAGGGGTATGAAAATGACCTCTTTAAGCAAAATAGCTTCAGGGAAAGGCCCAATGGCTTCATCTGGTTTGGCTACAAAGCTATGAGTGTCTTGTTTATTCTTCTTGTTATTATTGTTTTTGTTGCTCTTTTTGGCATCAACTATCACCGATTTTCTCAGTCCCAGTGAAGGAAATAATGGCCTTGCAGAAAAAGAGTGACTACCACTTGCAATAAACAAGCTTTTATTTTGGATACGGTGGGAAAACACTCTATGTTTTGGAGTTGGAAAAGTTGCCGTTCTGTATAATAGCGTCTCCATGGCTGAGGCGAAGGGGAAAGGGAGATAATCCTTTCCAGGAAATTATTACATGTACTTCGTAAGGTGTTTCGGTGATTTTCGAAGATTTCGAAGGTCATACTTGTAATTTGGAGGATACAAACATATAATCCAGGACAAGAACTTGAGAAATCACAAAAAAAAAAATTGCAAGCTGAGGTTTGGAAATATAGCAGTTGTTATTTCTAAACAAATTTAAAATAATTTATTAAAATAATTTATTTTTAATATTAATACATATAATTTAAAAATATTAAAAATTTTAATTGAAATAAAAAATAATTTTTTTCTGTATTTTTTAAATATTTTTTAAAAAAATCTATCTTCTTTACAGTTAAAGTATCATATGAATTTTCATTTTAAGATCACAATAATTCAATGCATTCTAGTAAGGAAAAGAAAAGAATAGAAAAAAAAAATCAAATCAAAGACCGTTAGCGTAGCTTAACACAAAAGAATCAACATAATCCCAGCACATTCAAAGCATTTCCCTTTCTTTTTTCTCCTTCTGAGGTTAATAATTTCGGTAATTAATAATATATTAACATAGCAATTTCAATTTAAACATTTTCGTTTTTTCTGGTTTTCTTTATTTATCCCTTGATTCATCTTCTAATCTTGAGTACGTACATGGGATGGGCCTGAGTGATTCTCTTTTTAAGAATGAAAAGTGAGGGATGAAGACATGAAGTCTTTGAGTTCTGATCCCTTCTTTCTATAAACTCACATGTTTTCCCGATGATACAGATCCTAAACCTTTTTCACAATTGCAGAAGCTCATCAAGCCTTTTAACATCAGTAAGATAAGCAGCCAGCTGCACGGTGATCTGAAAGAGGCTACACAGAGGCGTTGAGTGTCACTGCCATTCTTGCTGGCATTCTATTTGGTTGATGTGGATTCCCCGCATCTGATTGCCAAAACATCGCAGCAATATACGAATTGTGATGCAGGCTTAAAACCATTTTTACCCATGCTAGCACACAACTCAACGAACTTCAACCCTTTTCCCTCTGGCCTTTATTCAAATTAGGAAAGATCACAACCTCTCTTCAAGTTGAAGCCTATAAGCCCTATAGGATTACAAAATGCTTACAAGACTTGAGGGGGATGAGGATGAAAGAATATATAACTTTCATCATTGCTTCTTCCCCTTTTCTTCCTTTTGTTGCCACTGCTACTGCCACCTCCGCCACTCTTTGGACCATTTCCGGCCTTGGCTGATGGGTTGTCATTAGAGATGCCAGAACTGTAGTTGTCAAACTCGCCTGCTTGCACTGCCTTCTGTAACCATTCAAATAATTCTTGTTCTGTCATGGTTTCCTCCATTTTAGGTGATGGCATCCACCCGCTTCTTTGTCCTGAGCTGGATCCCTTGCTGGTATTGTGTTTGGAGGTTATACTGGTGTTTACATGAAAACTGGGCTTGTGACTGTTGGCTGGACATCTCATTCCCTGCACCAAATTCAACATCGTACACGTTCAATCCCAGTCCCTTTGAAGTGAGGACATACAATACTAGCAAGCATTTCGGGTTAAAAGTAAAATCGCTTGCCAGCCAAATGGAAAGCTACCCATCCTAGATTATCTTTCCCCAAACCTTCTCCAATATTGCATCTTTTCCAATTGCATATTTTGCCATAAAGAACACAGATACGGGGCATGGTAAGCGTTTGGACAAACTTTTAGTGGAATTCAAATGATCTCATGAAAAAAAATAGCATTTGAAGAAACAATATCAAACAGTTTAACACACGCACAGCACTGCAAGTTGATAGTAAAACTCAGCCACAACACCAAGGGATTAATGAATAAGGGCAAGAAGATGTAGATGCCTGCTAAATTATACACACCAATTCTACTACCATGCCACTCCACTTTACTTGATTTCGCCTGCTAAATTATACACACCAATTCTACTATGCCACTCCACTTTACTTGATTTCATTCCATTGGATTTGTTAAATGGCAACCAACTAGAATCAACAGACACCTGAAACACTTGAGTCATCTACGAAATTAATTTACCTGACAAATATACCAGTCAGTGGCATCATACATCTTGCTATCTGCGCAAACATATGCAGTGGGAGCATCAACCTGCAGAATATAACGTTAAGTGAGAAAGACAGATCCTTTCTATATATATCGCATGATACAAGTGAATTTTCTATTGTGCTTGTTCACAAACAACATTCTTACTATTGCACATACCTTCTGCAATAATCCAAAAGCGAAGGGTTGTGAAGATTGCTCAACCCATTCATCTCCATCTTTTGCTTGATGAAAATCTTTGCAGTCCTTCAAAGCAAAATGCCCAAAATTTTAAAATAAGCATCATCTTCCCATTTGGAAGGACCAATACTGGAACTACAGCAATCAGTTGAATACTAACTTTGGTAAACAAATGATGATTAATAAAGGAAATGTCGGGAGGAAATATAAAAAACCTGGCACCATCTTGCTTGGGATTTTGATTTCTTGGTAGGTTCCCAGAGATGAAAGTTGCCACACCTTTTGCGAGCTATTCGCCTTGATTCTCCAGAAGGGCCTTTTGCAAGCTATTCGCCTTGATTCTCCAGAAGGGTCATCACCTTCAGCCTCTAAATGTGCAAACCAAGAGGCAAAGAAACCACGCTCTGCATTCTGGTCAATCAATCACATTATAAGCCTGGGTAATTTGAAATAATTGGCATAATTCAGGGGACATTATCGCCCAAGACCAAGTGATGGGCCGAGTAGAGATTATCTAGACATTTCTTCCTCGGCAATATATAGTACCAGACAGATGAAGGGCATATTGATCTAAAACATTTCAGAAAGTTCAATGTGCTCATGTGGACAAATAGGGAACAAGTGCAAAATGAATGACAGTTTCGTCAATGGTGTCATATGTCGCTCTTTTCAACATAGGTTTCACAATCAATAAGAACTCCAAAACTATGTACTGAATTTACACTACCAATCACATAAAAGAAATAACCAATGGCCAAACTTACATATGTCCAATAAAATTTTTAATGGCCAAACTTACATATGTCCAATAAAAAAAAATTGATTTGGACTTCTGAAAAACATGGCAACGCTTTAAAGCAGAACAAGCTAACAAACAAAGGAGTTGCCAGAAAAATATGCCATTGAAACGGTAACAATACAAAGTGGATGATTAGGAGAATTTGAAGTCAACTATCAAGAGTAGTACATAAAAAAGAACAGAAATTATGTATGCAAACCTTTTGTGAAGTACTTCGAAACCTAGGAAAATATTTCAACAATTCTTCCCTTCTTAATTCATCATCATATGCTTTTCGGTTCAATGAATCAAGTAACACCTAAAAAGACATTATAACAACAACATGGACATTAAGAATCAAATTCTCACAGATTTTCTTTCAAGCAATTAACCAGATCAAGCGAACAGATCAACCTCGTACGCATTTTGAAGTTTCTTAAAAGCTTCTGCAGCCTTCTCATTGCCCATATTCTTGTCAGGATGAAGCAGCATTGCCTGAGAGAACCAATTCAAAAGGGCTGGGGTCATAAATACAAACAATTTTCAGATTTCTCTTTTCATTTGATAACAAGAAGTTATTATGTATATTTACAAGTAAAACAATGCCTTCATGGCCACAATATCTGTCTTTAAATTTCATAAAAGAAAATCTAATTTGCTTCTATTCAATAAATATTTATTTGAAGCTTCTAATAACAGAGGAACTTGACAATTATATTTATTAACAATTGAATGAAATAGGTAATTAATATCTATTTTGCTTAAATCACAACAAGAAGCTTTGCTTCACTTCACATGATCACGTACTTATCACAACAAAATCACACGTGTGTGTGTGTGTTATCGACTAATGTTGCTCATAAACAGTAAAATCGATATTTAGCAAGGGATTAGAAATTTAGCGAGATTATAAAGATATTTAGCGAGACTGACCGTTTAGATTGAAAGGCGCCAGAATCTCAGCTGACTCGTCGATAGGCGACTTGAACCGCTCGAGATTCTTCTTTCCGTTAAACCTCGAAAGAGAAGGCGTTGGGGGCGACGGTGACCGTCGCTAGAACTCCGGCGATTTTTGGCGCGGAAATTAGCATTTTTCAGAACAGAAATGACACGGGGAGAGAGAGGGAGAGGGCGTTTGATTGTTAATTGGACCGTACCCCACCAGAAGAGGTCACGACAGATGTACACGTGTGAAATATTAAGGAGCAGATGAGGCGTCCCGTCCCGGACCCATGTGGTGCGTTATGCGTGATTTTGAAAACAAACCAGGTGTCCGTCGTCTGTAATCTACATGGTCCTGGGATATTAGAAAACGGGGGCCTGTTATGGCCTCGTATTTTCGGAAGATAGGGATTTAACTGGTCCTGGAAACCACATGGTCCAGCCCAATCAATTGACCCATTTTTATTTTTTTTACGTAGTGTTCGGTGCCGTGCATGCATCAGAGTTTACACTACAGGGCTTGTTTTCTGCCAGGTAGCTGTTGATCATTTTTTATCATAAATATTGGATTCAATTGAATTAACAGAGGCTCCCCCCTCGTGGATTTTCGGCAGCATGAAAATGGGTTGATAGCCTGTGACTGCAAGTTCCAAACTACAGGATTATTTTGGATTTTCTGTTCGTGTTTTGGATGAAAAACACTCCGATTATGGGGCCTCTAGCAACTTACAGATGGCAAGCGTCCAGCTGTAAATCCTGAAAATCTTTGTCGCCATAGCAAGGTGAGATTTCACATGGAAAACAATTAATAATTTGAATACAAGAAAAGAGGTGTCACCATTTTACCAGGAAAATGTAGGTGGACCACCAGACCAAAACCCAAATTATTCACCATGCACTCTTTTTCTCTGCGAGAATCTTTTCAGGTTTTGTTCCTTCCTTCTCCTCGATGGGTCTTCTCTCCAAAACACCTCAGTATTGGATGCCCATGCAAAATTAATCAATGGGTCATATATGTACGGTGGCAATTCCTCTTTATTCATCACTCCCTTATCATCATCGTTGTTGATTTCCTGATATGGGTATGCAATTTCATCACCAGGAGATAGCAAAGGAAGCTATTTCGGGCTTTAGTTGTTAATTTATTTAATTAAATATTTGTATAGGCTTTTCAATCTACATTCTAATTTTTTATGTAAAAAAAAATCATCAAAATAATGTATATATTATATATCTAGTATTTTCTTTAAAAAAAATTACAACCCTTAGCGAGTTAAATAGCTAGTCTAACTACACAAATCAACGTATTTTGTTGAAATGCTGCTTTGCTTTAACTACTTTTCCATTTCCTGTAATGGCTCCATTTCACTCAACTGATAAAAAATAATAATTAGATCATAATGATGTAGAAATTAATTAATGCTATCCTGAACTTGTATGTTAAGTTTGGATATTTCCAAAGATTAGGATTTTGAAAGGTTTAGGATATATTCAAGTTTGGCATGCTCATGCCTTGGTACCAGGAAACAATAGCAACTTGCAGGCATGTAATTCTCTGGTCAAATCCTTTTAAATTATACTATCTACCATGCCGTCTTGTGTTGGTGGGAGGATTGTCCCTTCAACTTTACTTTGATATCCAAACAGAAAGGACACAGAGAAAACGCAGCGTGTATTTCTTTTTCAATTTAAGTCAAATTTATAAATTAATAGCGTGGGTGCATAAAATACACAACAAGTGAAACAATATATACAGAGACGCTAGAAGGTGGAATATGAAAGGCACGTAGTATGAGCACAGAATGGGAATTAATGTTTGGAGAAGCTGGTTCGAGACCCTTTTTTATCATGCTGCCACTTAGTTGCAGCTATCGTTAGATTGATCATATATAACGGGAAGCTTTTAAAAGGCAGTCATCGATCCTAAATGGTGGAAGAGGACAATCGGCCTGCCAGTGCCTTTGGCCGGCCGCCGTATGGAACAATGCTCATAATTAATTTACACGTAGCACGCACCCACCATTGCATGATAAAATACGTTTTATATTTAGGGTTCCCTGTCACATGTTGACGTTTTTTCCTATGTATGTTTTGGCAGATTGGATTCTGCGAAGCGCAAAGAGAACATATATATGTATTAACTTGTCGATATGCATTAGTTAATCTTGATTGAGCAGCATAATCTTTATTTATCCATGTCTTGGGAGCTATCCGGTAAGAAAGATCGGCTCGGTGGAAATAATTAGGTTGAGGACAAACACATTGGCTTTGGCAATAATAATCAACATAGACATCGTGTAATATATTACATGTAATTGATATTATTAAGTTTCGTTTTCTTAAGCTTGCCAGTCTTTTATGTCTAAGTCAGGAAGGGTAATTTCATCTCCCTTAAGTTCATTAGACATCAAACAATATATATGTCCTACCTGGATTGAGTTTATACTCGATTCGATGGCATCAATTGTAAGTGAGAAAAAACAATTCTAATATTAAACCGAAGTGGATGCATGTGGCTGGGTTGACATATGACATGCATTGTCACTAATTGGATATATTTACTTTTTATTTTTTATTCATATACATATATATATATATATGCAAACCATATGAAACAACAACGTAAGAATCTAAATTTGTTTAATATTTAAAGTTTATTTTATAAATAGAAAGAATTTTATTTTTTCCTTGGGATAAGATAGAACAACTTACGAAGCCACAGCACATGTAATGGAATTTTTATAACATTAAACATTGCCATCCTACTGTTGAGATTGATTATCATTTCTAATAATTTCTATATTTTTTTTCCGTTAATTTTAGGATATGATTATGTGTAGTATAAGAAATCTAAAGGGGGTTCTTCTGCGTTGATGAATCTAAAGGTACATATCAATTTAGCTAATAATTAATTAATGTACTAAGCTACCATACAATGGTAAATTCTAACAATTTTGCGCCGGTTGCGAATTGAATATTTTCTGTGCTCTTACAGCTGGGATCTTGCTATAATACCTGAAAGGAGAATTTGTCAGCTTACAATATCATGTTTACGATAATGGTACTCTATCTCCACTTCAGATCTAAGCAAAGTTTTTTCAGCTCAATCATCACGTTTGCGAAATTAATAATATTCTACTGACATAACATGATCTTTTAGCTGGCATGTGATTATGTACATGTATAATTGTGTTGGAAAAAACCTCTGGAAACCTAGTCTGGTAGTAATGTTATCGTATCTTTCAGGATTTAATTAATACAAAATGTCCCCGATAAGAAAAAAATAATGCCCGTGAATACACTAATTTGGGTGTTCATTTATTCACATATGCTTGCTGAGACTTAGATAGTGTTGGGTATGAGGTTAAGATTTGAATGAGGGGTAAGATTTAAAGATAAAGTATTAATGGTGTAAAAACTGTCAAAGGTAGAAGAAAATGTTGATAAGAGTTGAAAAAACAGGGATATATAAAAATAGATCTCAATATAAATTAAATCGACTTTTAAATTATAAAAAATTTAAATAATATTGCACCTGAGGTCTAAAATGAAAAGGTGTAATAGGAAAAAAAATAAGTTAATAAAGAAATTTTTTTCTCCGTTGCAAATTGTGCTGAACATGGATAAAGTGTATGACAAGTTATCCTCGTAATTTCCCCATCTTTATCCCCATACCAAATTTATCCCTACATTGCGTTTGATATGGGATTAAAAAATGTAGGAGAATGATTATTAAGAAAGTAAAATTAGGGTTGTGTTTAATTTCAAGTTAAAAGGAAATTTAATTTAATGGCTTAACATTTCCCACTTTAATCATGTTTGATATTTTATAGGAAGGGGGATTAAAGGGTTAATATTTAACGGCACTTAGCAGGGAGAAGGGTGTTTTTGAAATTGTGTTTGAATTATTTCTTTCAAAATTTCCACTATTTTTCCCTTCTTCTTTTTTTCTTCAACCACCGTTAGTTCCCACCATTGTACAATTATTTATTATTTTTTAACTTTTTTAAATTTTATTTTTAATTTAAATTTTTTTGGACTTCGCTATTATTATTATTTTTTTTTTACAAACCAATGGAACATCTTAACATCTTAGCTTATAATCACTTTTTTACACCATTAATTAACACTTCATCCCTTAACTCTTGATCCATTAACATGTAACCTCCAACCAAACACAGTCTTGAATGTGAAATGTTGAAGTTATTTGATATGTGTTGAAAATTCTAGAGATAAAAATGTATCTTGATATAAATGATTTAGGTTAAATATGATTACAAGAAATTAAATAATGTTATCCTTGAGGTTCAAAGTGAAAAGTGCAAGAGAGGAAAGAATAAATGGACATTGAATTTAAAAAATAGAAGATAAAACACAAAAACCACAATTTTTCTCCCTTTAAAAATTCTTTACTCCTCTCCTTGTAAATTTGACATTTATTTTTGAAGTTTAGTGCTCTCTACCAATTCCTTCAGATCGTGACAAGCACAGACAAAGGAGATGAAAATTATTCTTACGATTTTTCTTTCCTTTTACCCCATCCAAATCACAATATCCTTAGGAAAGATGGTAGGAAAATTAACCCAAAAAAAAAAATGGAGAAATGAATGTATAAAAAAAAAAAATCAAACGTGATAATTATATATATATATATATAAAAAAAAAAAAAAACCAAAAGGAAACGCAGGCTAGTGAATGGGAGAAGGGGAGATGCTTTTGTATTTCTTTGACCGTATCTTGGGAGACCGTGAGGGTTAAACCTCCCTTTGCCCGCACGGCCTGGAGGTTTCTGTTCCCCACAAACACCCACCAAATTGTTTAAGTTTTGCTACTTAATTGCCCTGTTTTTGGATAACTTATATGTCCTTTAATATACGGTTTTTATACCGTATTACAAGTACCTAGATTCTCATTGCCCGATTCTTTGTCCAAACTCCGACTAAAGTAAATATCTAATCCTTCCATTGCCATCGAGGCACATCTATGGCCTATCGTATTTTTTAGTATAATACAGGTAGACAGGCCCCCCAAGGTAGGGATTCAGCTTCAATTTGGATGAGAAAGAGAGCTTGTGATGGAAGCTCATGGATTTGTCTTTCACAAGTCGATCCTGGTATGTTTGGGTAGCAAGAAAAAATAACTTCCTGGGAAAAAAATTCGATTATCACATCCATACTTTTCAATGCGTGCTATGGGAATTTTTTCTATTATAAATATAAAAAAACATTATACTCTGACTTAATTTTGAAATCAAAGGCATGTATAAGTATGTAAAAATTGCAAGGGAGCAAACTAGGAACTTTTAATTT